GGACTGTTTGTTCTGGCACTGGCTGAAAAGGGAGGCGGGACTCAGCAATGGAGGATGGAAGTGAGCAAAGCTAACTTAAATGGTAAGAAAGCCAGGCAAGACCAAAGAGGCTGAGAAGGTGGGAGGCACACAGGCGTAGCTGCAGGACCGGGAGAAGGAGAGAAATGCCTACTGGTAATGGGGAAGGAGGGGCATGTGGGAAGTGGAAGCCATTGTTGTCATCTTCCCCCAAGAACGCAAGTGACTTTTTTTCTTTAAAGCAAAGTGAAGTCCCCAGAGTGTGTTAGAAACCCCAAGAGCTGCTGAAAGTTCCTGGATCTGTTTGTGTCTTGATTTGAGATGGTTCCAAGAGGTGTGAACCCCCATCCATCTCAGTGGAGCATGGCTTTGAAACCTGATGCCCTACTAATGGGCCTGTTCCAAGTGACTAGAACATGCCCCTATGTTCTGGGTTTGCCTGTGGAGTTGTTACACTTGTACATACCGATGGTTGCACAGGCAGATGTCACTGCCTCTCACCTCTTTCACACCCCAGTCCCTCTGCTGGGTGAGACAACTGTAATACTATGTGAGGCCTTTACTTTATGTGCATATCGCTGAAAACATTCAGTGTGTTGGGAATTTGCTGTGCATGGAGGTTGTACATGGGCCATGATTTCAATGTAGTTTGTCCTCCTTCACTGTACAAGCATGGATAGCTGTCCTGACCCGTGATGTCTGTCTGTGTATGGGGGTCCTTTGGGATGTGCCAGGTGAAATGGGCCTGTGCTTCAGGCTCTGGAAGCATTTCTTTAAAGCATAACCATTTTCCTTACAGACTGCCTTGGGGAGTGGTCCTCAGCTCCTCCAGACTGTATCTTCTTCCAGGTTGAAATTGTGTGTTTGAGGTTGGAGTTAGTGGGTGAAGTTGAGGCCAGACTTGATCATAATGGCCCTGTTTGGCCTTGCCCTCTGGCTGTAAGGAGACCAGAGAGAGCTCATGGACAGTATCAGTTTGCTTTGGACTTTTCCAAACCAGAACCCAGCATTGGTTCAGGAATACCCAATCAAGAGGTCTTTGTTTGCAGAACACAAAGTGCGTACCCAGCAAGAAAGGAAGCCTAGCTACCTGGATCCCAAGCCTGCTTTCCAGAAACAGCAGTGTTTTCCAGCTGCCTTCTCTGCAGCTCCACATGGGGAAGCCTCAGGACTCTCCTGCTGTGGCGAGATGGGTTGCTGATGGCACTCAGCCACCCTGCGTCAGTGCCTGCTATGTGAATGACTTTTCAAAGTGGTGACCTGGTGGATTTGGATTTGGACCTGATAACCAGTGGAGAAGGAGATGCTTGTCTACAGCAGCTTGACTGAATTGCCTTTTTGTGGATGTTTCCACAGTGCCCCTGTCAGTGCTGCAGTGAGGGGATGTTGCTTACTGACAGTTGTCACTTAAAATACTTTCTCTTCCAGTTGGGCAAAGCAAGGCCCTGCCATGGCTTAAGTGTTCTCGTTGTTAAATGTTGCTCCTTCTTGGTTTTAGAGGGAAACAAGTGCTATGCTGCATTTGGATGTGATGTACATTATATATGGTCAAGAAATAATAAGGCATGCTCTAGGCATGAAAAGCAGGATTCAGAAGGCTGCTGATACAATTAGTTTCTCCAACTGAAGGAGGCTTTAGTTTGCTAAAATGACTACAGTACCTCAGATTAAGTCTATTCCTGACTGCTCTGTGGTACCTATCCAGTGCTTGTAAATCAGGTAACAAATGGGGTGGGAGAAAGCAATGAGATCATATAGCTGAGATTTTCTGTGTTCTAAAGTCATGATTCCCACAGCAGCTGTAATGTGCCACCTTGCGCGCACATACCAGTGCCTTGAAGTCACCTGCATAAATAGAAATGCAGGATGCCCCACATCCACAAGCAGGGATTCCTGTGGGAAGTGTAACTTTTTAAAGGTTTGCTATCATGTGTAAAACTCAGCCACAGCATTGCAGTCAAGTTTCTCTGTATCTAACACAGACCCTCTGGAAACCTAGCAAACTAGGTTAGATGCAAATGGGATTGTTTCAGCACAGAGACCTGTAACTTGAGGATGGACAAGCATGTGCTGTCTGATGACCCTGTGTAATTCTTAGCGTGGTGTGGTGGTTAGTGACTTGAACAGAAGACTTGCTAGCCAAGTGAGTGAGGTCAAGCTGACACCTTTGCAGAACAGCAGTGTAAATCTTTGGGGTATCTGTGCTAGGCGGAACAACCACTGGCACTTGTACACATTATGTTAATTTTTACTGAGACTGTCAAGTAAATAGACTCACTGCTGTTCTATTTTCCTCTTCAGATAGAAGGCTTAGCCCAGGCATAAGCCCTACAGTGTCCATGTCCATCAGACCCCAGTCAAGGAGGTGTGCTAAGATCTGCCTTCCAGAGTCAGTGCCCTGGGATGTTACATGGGTTCAGAGGAGAGCCCCACATTTGTCCTTGCTCATTCTCAGCCTCTCCTGAAGAGGCAGGATTTCCTGGATTCTCTTCCCAGCTCCTCCGCTGACTTGCTGAGACTCTGGACAAGTTTTCCTATCTGTGGAGTGGGATCCTAGCTACATCCCTGAGCAAGCCATACAGTAGAGATGACGCAGCCTTTTCCCAGATGATAAAACATCTTTGGGAATAAAGGTTCTGGCAAGGGCTCTTACAGGTGGTGCAGTGTAAGTCCTCTCTGTCAGAGCATCCTGGCCCCTCTAGTGAAGTGTACATTATTTTGGCAGATGCAGGAGTTGCAGCTGATCCAGGATGGACTTATCCCTCATAGAATTTTAGTTTTTATTAGAGCCATTAAGCCAGTACCTTGCTGACTGTGTGAGTGTCTGTGTGGTTTTGACAAGGCCTCTGTTACAGTTTCTGAAGCACAAGAATAAAAATCTGTTTTTTCCCCCCTTAGGAGACAGAAGTCAGATGAATTCAAAAGAGCGCTAAGGTGTGGTGGAGAACAAAGAAGCTGCAGTCGCTTTCCTGTTCATTAGTTGGACAGGGCATTAAGATGTCCGTGGACATGAACAGCCAGGGCTCTGACAGCAATGAAGAGGATTATGACCCAAACTGTGAGGAGGAGGAAGAGGATGAGGATCCTGGGGATATTGAGGATTATTATGTTGGGGTCGCTAGTGATGTGGAGCAGCAGGGAGCGGATGCCTTTGACCCAGAGGAATATCAGTTCACCTGCCTGACTTACAGGGAGTCGGAGGGCACTCTGAACGAGCGCATGGCTAGCTTGGCCTCCACGTTAAAGGTGAGGAAAAGTTTCTGCCTTCAGAGGGGTGCAAATGGGGCTATATGGCTAAGCAGGCAGACATTACAGTCTGAAGTCAGAGCAGTGAAATGACCATTACCTCCCTGGGCTGTTGGGGATGGTCGGTAGTTCCCAACTGATGCTGAGGACTTACCAGTCCTTGTGTGCTGATTCTGGTCCAGGGGTGAGTGAGAAACTGCTTACCCAAACATCTGTTCCCTGTAATGTTTTGGAGTTGAGCAGCATGAGCAAACTCTCTAATGCTAAACCTACCTAAAAAGAGGGCAAGGAGAAGAGAAGCAGGGTGGGGCATGTGATTGAACGATGCATACAGCTGCACCAGTGTTTGTTTAGAAACTGCCTGGCAGAAAGTACTTAAGTATTCAGTCCCTGCACAAAACTCTGCCACATTGGTTCTGAGGGAATCATCACAGACTTTCACGAAAGTGGATTCCATCTTATGCCCAGCACTCCCCTCCCCTGTCATCACACTTACCAACCATTTGTCTGGGCAGGGTGAGCTCCCCAGCTCTTGCAGTACTGACTAATTGCTCGCTAGAGGAGGTTTCCATGCCTTTAGGTTGGTGTTGAGTGCTCTAAAGAGATGATGTGATCTGCCCCCGTTTTGCAGCTGGGAATATAGTGCATATCAGCAGTGAGGCAAGTGACTTCCAGTGTGCTGCCGCCACAGTAGAGAGTTGCTGCTCAGGATGAGGTGGAAGGCAGGCCAGGGCAACTTAGAGACTGACTGGTTCAGAGAGGCATGCACTGAGCTGACTGGGTCTCCAAGGTGCACCACTGCCCCGTTTTCTGTCCGACTGCAGGCAAACGTAGCTACCTACCTCTCTGGTCAAAGAAGAGGGGAGAGAAGAACCTGGTATCTGAGATTTCCAGGCTTTAGCCAGGCTAACGTGATCGGCAAGGCTGTCCTATGACAGCTTTTGCCACACTTGGCTCTGCCAGGGACCCTGGGTCACTAGAATCTGGACAGATGTAGTCGTGGTCCATACAAGGCACCTAACCCTGCTAGACGGCCGATTTTCAGTCCCTGCCATCTGAGACTGGAATTAGACTGGCAGCTCGGAGATGAGAGGGAGCCTCGGAGGGATCCAGGTCCCCTGAATTATCTCTCTCTCCAGGCCAGAAAGTCTGCGTTGTGATATTGATAGCGGGTAGGCCCAGAGGCAGTGGAGTGCTTTCCACCATGCCAGTCTTGCTGCCCTCAGTGCCCATGGACTATCTCTTAGTGACGTGGTTGTGCCTGGAATAGTCTCATTTCACCTCTGGGCCCATTCTCCCTACAGATCTGGGTACTGGAGGACAATAGAAAGAAGCAGATATGGGGGGTGTTGGCTGGCCCTGGGATCTGAACCTCAACCCCTCAGCACCAGTAAATATCAGTAAATATGTATAAAAGAGCTGTTCTACTCCATGCCAGGTGGCTCCTTGTGTCTGTGGAGTCAGGTGAATGAGAGTGCTGTTTGCTCTTCAGTCTGGACAGTCTGAAGCTGGTCTCTAATTTCATAGTCTAGGTTCACAGTATTTGTTTTCCTGGGTTAACTTCCCATCTGGAAGGTCCATCTATTTGCAGCATGAGGCATACTGGATTTGTCCTTAGAAACCTTTGTGGCTATCTCTTCCTTCACAAAGCCGTCTGTATCTTATAGCTTGTAGCCTGACTTTGTCTAGCTGTTGCTGAAGCTAGCCACAGGCACCCAAACACATTTCCTTTCAGTTGGCCGACTTTGGTCCACTTGACACTTGATGAAAGGCCTGTGTGCTCCATTTATGATGGCAGCAAGTCATGTGGCTTTTGGGTTGCAGCAAATGTCACTTATCTACCACACACTTAGCTGTGTGCACCACTAGAGGGGCAGAGCTGTACACCACAGACTAGCCTTTGGACACATGAATGGAGTCTACGGTATTCAGGGATGATCAGCTACTTTGGGCTGAGTGAATCATAGGAGATACCAGTCTTCCTTTGAGTGACTCCAGGTTTGCTAATAATTATGCTTTTGAGTGCTGGCTATGAGCACGTGGCTTGTAGGGCCTCTTAGTGACCATGATGTATTGGTGCCATCCAAGCGGGTAGAATTCTTTCAACTTTCTGTTTCTGTAGACAAGTAGCACTAAGCTGGCGGCATTAATAGTGGTGACCTCGCTGGGGCAGTCAGAAACATACAGTGGATTGTTCAGTCTTTGTGGGATCTTCATCAGTGATGCATTGTTCACATAGATGGGTAGCATGCACGTGACATCAGATGCCTCTCGTCTGTGGCACAATTTTTATCCTTTCCTGGGGAAAGAGGTTATCACAACCTAGCATTGCAAGGAGTGCTGGGGACTTGTTCTTGACTCATAAATGTTAGTGTGTAATTTGCGTGGCTGAATTCTTCCCCAGGCCAAGCGCAGGGGAGAGGGGTATGTTTTCCAGTCTTGTGATTGCTGCAGTGCCAAGAGCTGCATTGGTATCAACAGCCCATGCAATAAATAGCATGACTGAGCCCATCTGTGCTTGGCATCTTGCATGTGCAGAAACATCCAAGAATTCTGTAGCCATGAAGAAGCAGATTTGTTTCCTGGAGTGTCCTGGGGTCTTGGTGATTATAATATTCCTGCCTGGTGGCATAGGGGTCTCATACATAAAACCTGCTAAATCCAAAGAGCTCTGGCTTGCCATCGATACAGAGAAACAGTTGCCTATTATCTGGGATTTTGAAGATCCCTTGCTGACTTCAAGATCCCTAGTTTGGGTGCTTTCATGGTGCCTTTTAAGAGTCTGATTTTTAAGCAAATCCGGTATTGAACCCTGACACTCTTCTGGCTTTGCCAGTGTAGGAGGCTAGCCTTATTTGATGTGTAATAGCCAAAAGTTATGGAGACATCTGGGTATAGAATAGTGCTAACTGCTGCTGCCACCAGGACCACAGTACTGGCAAGTGGATCACAACTTGGCAGAGTTCATAATATTTTCAGGATACTTTATAAGACTGGCTTTGTTGCCAGAGCTTAGCTCATTGTTTTTAGAGAGAAGTAGAGGCCAAGGCGTTGTGGATTTTTCCCCCTTTTTTTTAGAAGGAACTCTCACA